CAAGTGTGGGGATGACATCCGGAGCGGTGAGAGAGGCGCTGCTTGTGGGCGTGGGTGTGGGCGTGGCTTCTTGTGGCGTGGGCGAGACCGCGGTAGAGGCAGGGCTGTCGTGCCGGGCCTCGCTCACGTCGGCGGGCCTCCCTCCTACCCCCGAGGAACCGGCCGGACTCTCATCGCCGCCCGCCGAAGAAGGGTGCTCCTGCGGGCGGGGCGAGGCCGGACCGGGGGCGGGGGGCGGCGCCGGGCTCTCCTGCCACTGACGCTGCTCCTCGCGCTCCGTCTCGGGTGAAGGTGGGAGGCCGTCGGCTAAAAAAGGCTGATGCTGGACGTTGTGGTTCTGCTGGTGTGTCGGGGACTGGATTCTGCTGGGCGGGTTCGGTTTCCTGAACCGCTCTTCAGCCTCGTCCCACTCGTAGCCCTCAAGACATGTGAGGCCCCTTCGAGTTCTCTCGAGGGTCTCCGAGTGTTGACCACCATGCCCTCGGTAGTGGTTTGGGCCCACACGGCCCTCGCGGTAGTCGACTGTATATTCATCCAGCTTATGTTGCTGCAGTCGCTGGCTGTTGTGGTCCTCCATGCTCGGCTGGTGGTTTGGCACACTCAGCCTGGCTGGAGGACGGTTTTCGGTGCTCCCTCCGTCGCCGGGTCTTCGGGGGCGTCCTTCATCCAGAGTCTCCAAGGAACGGGTGTGCCTCAAGGAAGCACGGCGAAGCTGTTCCCGCCACTGACTATCGTCTTCCCATTCTTGGCTCTCCTGAAAAGCCATCTGGTCATGACTTAGAGGGCTGCGTGGTTGATGGGGAATCCGGGGTTCATGGAAGCTGATTCGGCTCGCGGTGCTCTCCCTGCTGACCAGACTATCACGGCTGCCAATCTGGTACGGAGGCAGGGGTGATATTGGCAAGGGAGAAGTAGCGTAAGGGGAGGTTGCTCCTGGTGGCACACTGCCACTACTATGCAAGCTACTAACAGATGCACGTTGACTTGTGAGCTGGGAGAAGGCACCTCTGTGTGGTGCAGACACAAGATGTGGTGGGGGAGGTGATACACTTGATCCCAAGGAACTTCCTTGACTCGTTCTCAAGGGTGCGGATGTGGCAATCTGTGGAACACCTGGTTTGGCACAACCTGCATTGTGTTGCATTGGACCATTGAAAGACTGAGAATTTTCTGGAGGAGGTGGCAAGGTATTACTTGCTCCACTTGCAAAAGGCCGAGCTGGTTCGTCTAAAAGTCCCTCTAATGACCTAGTTCTACGGTGGCCCATTTGAGGACCAGCTGAAGGAGAGTCCATTTTCACTGAAAGACCATAAGGAAACACATTCTTGGCATCAAGCTCTGGGTCTGGGGTATAAGCACGACGCTTCATTTTACGAAGTGTGTCAGAATCATATACATTACGTTCATCTGGAGATGTTACAGTTTTTCCTTCAAGAAACTCAACTGAAGTTCTCAATTCATGAGCCAAACTGTGGTTTTGTGTCAATCTTTCACGTCTCTGTTCAAAGTCTGAAGCACTGGTGATCTGATTTACTTTACGCCCTATATCCTGCCTTTTATTAGCTTCAAGATCGCGCTGATTATTGAGCTGGTAGGACCTTGATCTTGGAGTGCCTACCATTCCATCAGCTAGTGCTGCACCCTCATCACGAATCACATCAGAGTAATAATAGGGCGCAGAGCGAGGGCTTGATTCACTTCCTACTGACACATTGGAAGCAGCTCTCAAGTGTATAGGAGCCACATTGCCACCACCCAGAGAAAGGACACTAGCTGTAGGGCTCACTAATCCTCGAGAAGAAGCCTCTGATGATGTACGTTGGTGACTGACACTCAGCTGTGCAACAGGACTATGAACCCCACGAAGTGCATCGATCATAGGAGACCCTGTCGGTTCTGCATTCGATGAGATCAGCTGACTTGGGTTCTTTTTCAGCAATGATGTCCTTGGTGCAGGGACATTCTGGTATGTGGAAAGCTCCTTTCTGTCAGCATATGGGTCGGGAGACTTTGGTCGTGATCCAGTTGAGTTTGACCTTTCTCTTTCTAGCTGACTGCAGGCCTTTGAGTTAGGAGGTATATTACAATACTCTCTGCCTACTGCAGGACCCTGAAGGTTGTTCAAATTGGGACGAGCATTATGCTGGAAGCCTTCATTCACATAAGGATTCTCAATCTTCCCGGATGAAAATGAGGTGTCTAAGTTGCTCTGGAAAGACATGTTGTGATCCAAAGCTGACTTTGGCCTGGCAGACGGTTCATGCTTCTCTCCAGGAAGTAAAATATCTTCAGCACATTGTGGGAAAGGTTTCCGTCTCTCTCTCTGGATATTCTTTTCTGCTCCAGACATTGTACAATCTTCTGGATATGCAGCTGATGCAGGATACCTATCCTCTGACCTTAGAATGAAACTATCATCATCATGAAGACTTTCTAGAGTCTCTTCAAATACTGGCCTTCTCTTCAGTTTATCGGAGTGAAGACTGGAGGAAGATTCTGACTTTTCAAACATCCTTTTTTCCTTGCCAATAGATGATCTTGAAGTATTTAGATCTTCTCTGAGGCTGCTCTGACTGACCCTGAGTGATCTTGAAGAAGTCAGTGCATTTCGGAGATGTGGAGGTGGATCAGGGGTTTCTAGATTCTCAAAATCAAAATTCTTGGCCTTTGGTCCTCCAGTTTCCAGTTCGTCCATTGGTGGTGGACTAAGAGGTATGGGTGGAGGAGGAACAAGATCAGAATCTGAGGAATCTTGAGCATCAGGATCACTTGATGGTTCAGCTCCACTTAAGTAGTATGAAGCTGGACGGAAAGTATCTGACAGGCTGAAACGAGGGTTGCGTGGGGGTTCCAAACTATCAAGGTCCTTGGAGGCTTCGTCATCTGCATCAGATGAGACATTAGACTGAGGCTTTGTGTCAATCTTACTAAGGGAAGAGTTAAGAGCTGTGTCTGATGGATATTTCCTCTCAGAATTATGCTGTAGTTTTAGTTCATCTGGTTTCTCTGGAATCTGGGGTTTTTCATCTACTGGATTTTCGTCCTTTTCAGAATTTGGAACTTCCATGTAGATTGCTTCATAGTGAGACTGTCCCTTGTATATGTACTCATAATGCTGGGGCTCATCTTTATCCCCAATTTCGTAATACCTAGGACTCTCAGGAGTAAATGTTTGGTCACCAGTTAATTTACTGAGATCAAGTCGAGGAGGAAGACTTGCATTACTTGCATTGTTATTGGAAGCTGTGTCTCCACTCATTTCGATGTAAGTGTGTTCTTCATATTCCGTTTTTGCAAAGGCATCAGGGTATACAGGCTCTGGAGTAGGCAAATGCTTACTGCTCAGACTACTGCAAGAACTTGCTGGAGCAAGAATACCTGATCCATGGCTTGGCTTTTTAGGTGGGCTCATTGGTAAGTAATTCTCCTCTATATAAGGATTTGGTCGAGGTAGCGGGCTCTGAATTCCACTTGTTGGGCAAATAGGAGGTGGTGGAGCATCCTCCTCTGGTGGCTTGTCCAGGTCTATTACAATAGACGTGTCATGCTCTGAGGGAGGATAAAGCAATCTACTTTGCTCACTGTTCAATGTGGTGTCCATCCAACTAGCCTCTTCACCTCCGCTGTCACTATCCTCCTGCACCTTCAAGGATTCTTGAATAGATTCTGCTAAACTTAATCTCAGATAGGCTGGGGCCATAACTACATCCATATCTCCTCCTAATGTTGGCTTCTTTGGCGGCCTTGGAGGAGGAACAATAGGAGCAATCTCCTCCTTCTTGTCATCTGCCGACTTTCTCAGGTCTGCAAGAACTGATGTGGTGGGTGACACTGGTGTCTTCTCTGGCAATGCATTGTACTGGTCATCACAGGGGCCCTCATCACTTGAACTCTCGTTGGACAGCATTTCCGAGTCACTGTGGAACTTCTTCCTTGATACATCCTGACTCATACTGACCCTCTCCATGTGTTCTATGCTCCTCTCTTCGAAATTCTTCAGGAGAGCCTTCACAGATCTAGGCTGTACTGGTTTCTTCATCAAAGGAGGTTTAACAGGATTCAGTGGTTTATGATGTTGTTTGTTAGTCTCAGGTTTAGAATCATCATCAAACAAAAACTTCCTGATGTTGGTTCTGCTAAGCCTTGAATCCATGATATCCTGAGGGCTTCTCAGTTCTCTGTACTCTAAACTTGAAGGCTCTGGACTCGAAACATACCTGAGATTTGCCACACCTTCTTCCATGGTTGCAGCACCAATAACCTCATCTCTCCTCTTGTAATCAGATATGTTCTTGACTTGTGCCTCTTGAGCTGTCACCATAGTGGATTCTGAGGTGGCAAACTCAGCTTTCAGGGGCGATACAAGAGCTTCTGAACTTCTGACTTGAGACACAGGTTTCAAGGGTTCCTTCAGGGGTTCTCTTAGGTTTCTTGAAGGCTGCTCATTGAAGCCTGAGTTATTCATTTGATTATCTATTTGTGTCTTTGATTCACTATGTTTTAAGGGCTTAATGCGTGATTCCTCACTATGATTGATATGATTTTCTTTGGCATCAATGTTGCTTGTAAATTTCTTTATCCTATCTTGCACCAAATTCATCTGACTCTGAGTCTGTTGATGAGTTTCTTGTACCATTTTTGGACTTTCTAAACATGGCAAAACTGGGGTTGACTTTTTCAGTGAATTGGACATATTTCTAAAATTCTCCTGGGGTGATGATTCACAGTTCTTATCAGGAGTAATGTATTCATAACTGTATTCCTTCACGACCTTGGATTCATCCACTTTCGACTTCAGATCTGGTCCCATTGGCCTTCCCACCCAAGACCTGTCAAACTTTTCAGGGCTCCATGTTTCCGGCCTCCTACCAGTGCGATCATACCCCCTTCTTCTTACAACACTCGAACACTCAGGGCTACTCTCTAAACTATCTGCTTTCCACAGGGACCCACCATGAGGATTTCTGTTCTCCTCACGTCTGAGGGGCATTTCTGCACGCAAAGTATCATAACCACTGTCTGAATATTTGCCAGTGGAAGTGGTATCATCTTGAAAGCCAGTCCCTCTTTGAGAAATGTGGGAGTTTAGACTATCTCCTTTGTGAGCAATGTGGGAGTCATAGGAAGGATAACCTGTTGTACTATCGTAGCTCTGGAAGTCTTTGCCATCTCTTCCATGCAGACTATGGTGCGAATTCTTGTTCATGTCCACAGAGGACCTTCTTTGCTCATTTTCAAAGGATATATTGTTCACCTGATGGTACTTACTTTGTGACGAAGTCTTAGAATCATATGAAGTGTTCAGATCTCTTTGTGAAACATTATTCACAGGGGCACTGGTATTCTTGTCATCGTCAAATTTATGATCGTTTATTGCTGGCATTTGAACATCTGATACATAATAGGGATCTCTTGTTGCATAAAAGCGGTCACTGTAAACATAACTCTGTTCAAAATTCCTAGACACATTGGGGCTTTGTTCATTTTCTAGATGCTGTGGCTCGAACCTTCTCACTTCATCATAGCCTTCATGCTGTTCAATGAACACAGGTTCAGCACGTTGGCTCACTGTTCTCTCACTGCAAACATTTTCTACATCTGAGGCATTGTTTTTGCCTCTGAATTTATTTGAATATTTAGGATCACACGATTCACTCACAACATTTATATTCACATAATCAGGCGACGAAGTAGGTGTCGCGTGCACTGGCTGCTGCACAAAACTGTCACTCATAAGCTCATTCCTATTTTCATCCCGAAAATCTCTGGAAACGTCCAACATTTCCTCAGGACTGCGTTTTTCCGGCCAGGCTGGATATCTGCCTTCCGGTGTGGTGCCTGCCCTTCGTCCATCGCGACTCAACTCGGCACTGCTTCTCCTCGAGTTGCGTCGAGTCCTTTTGCGAGTCTCACGCTCCTCCAGCAGATCTGTAGGGCCATATCTTGATCAGCCAAGCAAAACTGGCATGAGAGTTAGTCTTCTTTGTTAGTAGATCTTCAAGCCACTAGGAGTCATGTTATTTTCCACTCCATACCAATAGGGAAGAGCAACTAAAGTCACTGCTAAGACAGTTCTTGCATGCAGGTTCAAATAATGTCAAAATGCTGACCACAACTTCCAGCAGGCAGAAAGTTAGTCGGCCAGAGACAGCCTTTTTGAATAAGCGCACACAAAAGAATCGCTTTCAGCCATGCTATGGCCAAACAAAAACTTGTCTCAGGTGAAGATTCCAACCCAAGAAAATACCAAGCAAGGTTTAAACATGCCAATTTCAATTCCTAACAGAGTAGCTACAATTTGTTTTTAGTTCTGATAAAGTCCATAATAACCACATAAAGTTTACAGCTTATGGACCATGAAATCATTCTATTACTTCAACTGTTAGTTTATAGAAAATAAGTATTTACAAATACCATATCATCATATCACTGTAAACACTGTCTCTTTACTTCTACACATAAGACCACATCACCAGTAACATGCATATTTTTTTTTCCGGGTCATAAGCGCCAAAGCGGGACACCAAAGTAACTCACTTTATCTCGCTCTGGGTTAATCACCGTTTACAGATGAGAGCATCGCGCTGTTAGGGCTACAGTATCAGAATGTCAGTAAAGGATAAGAATCAACAAGGAAGGTGTGATCTGCCAGATACACCCTTTCCATTTCAAACAGAGATAGGCTACAATACAGATACAGTACCAAATACCACCAAGTGCCCTTAAGCAACCATTCAAATGTATTCAAATTGGGTAGTATCCTACTAAAATGTGTTAGTAAAGCGATAGTTGAAAATTTAGATTTCCAAAAGATACATCATTATATCTCACATTCAAACTCATTCACTGAATTACAGTATCACACCATGAAATAATGTTCACATCATCAAAAGGGGAAAGCAATATCACCACTGGTTTGTTTTACGCATCAAAAATACTTGGTTATCCCTTTCATCTTTATAAATGAAGAACATGGAGCAAAACTTACCTTCTTCATCCGATGAGTAGCTGTTATATCTCGAGGCGGAGGCCGACCTTCTTGAGTCTCCTCCACTGACATGCCTGGTCCTGGAGTTCTCCCTTCGGCCTTCCCTCCTCCTACTGCTCCCACTATCAGAGCTCTGGTGGGAGGAGCTCCCCTGAGGGGCCGGCCTTTCCCCAGGCCCTCGACCAGATACACACATGGGACTCTGATTCACATGGCCCTGACTCATTGGACTGGCACTCACGTACTCCTGAGGCACAGAACAGTCACTAGGTACCTGACCTGGTTGACTACCTGACCCGTGGTGCAGTGCAGCTGATCCATTGGGTGAGAAGCCATGGGGCTTTCCTTGCACAGACCCCGAAGGTGGAACTTGTCCCAGGGTCCTCCCAGGAGACTGGCTCTGGCCATGGCCATGACTCTGGACACTTTTTGATCTGGCTTCCTGAGTTGCAAGCTCATTTAGGACCTGCAGGGATAGTCATATTATTATCATGAGGAATTTAACATTTGTAATATAATTATATTAACAAAATAACTACAGGCAGTAATTATTCAGGGTTACCATTATTTTTTCAAGAAAACTAATGGTATCCCTGAATTTTAACATTTAATTATAAATCAAAGATCTTAATCCTCTTTACACCCATATATTTTGATGACAATCATCTTCATCATCATAATTCATTAGCAGCATCATGATAATGACAATAATAATTTGATGGTAATGATAATGATGATATAGCAACAAAAATTATAGGCTCATATTAGCCCCTTCAAAAAATTTCACAAAGAAAGGATAAATACTATTGTTGCAAACATTTCATACCAGAGATAAATTCATTCACACAGAAATCAGTAATATGATCTTGATAATGAATGAGCAGAGTACTAAAAATAAGCCTCACAGCCACGTCAGACATGTGCAAAGTCTCAAATTGGATACAGTGATTGTCCTTATTACTCACTTATACTTATTTTATTACTTTTATTTATCTTAATAAACATTTGTACTTATACTGTCTCATGCATATTTTATTACTGCATATTTCATATTTCGGAACCAAAAGTTACTCACTTGCTGCCTATAAGCTTCGCTATTTGTTCGAGGCTGTGGCGTTGCAGTTGCATCTTGGCGAGGGGAGGTCTTCCGTGTTAAGGGTGACTGTAACATTCTCTGTTTCCACTCCAGCAGCCTTTTCATTGATTCCTCTCTCTGTGAAAAAAAACATGGGCATTAAAAGTATGGTTTAATATATAATATAGAGTTTAATTGCTCTATTTTTGTCAAATACATATACAGTCCTTTTCATTTTCATTTTCTAACATATATAATCTAATACGGAAAATCTGGCACATAAAAAGGAAAAGAGCATCTAAAAGTATGAATATGACAAAGAATAACTACAATCTTGAATAACTTCTTCAATTGAGATCTGTACCATTCACATATCTATATGAGCAAATTACCTCCAAGCTAGAGGAAGGTTACATCCATTACCTTTACTAAAGCAAAAAAGGTATTATGATATGATAAAAAAGTAATAAGCTATGCAAAAGTGGGTTGAGAACAAAATGAAAAGAATCAATAGTATTTTCCTCTGCCTGATATTCAGAAAGAGAGCTTAGATTGTTCAATCTGTACTTAACTTTATTTTATGATGATGTTAGCATTGATGAACCAACTAATGTGGGCTACACCACGTGGTAAATTCTTATACCCATTTTTCTATACAATAAAATCCACTTTTTTCTCAGTCCCAAAGCTATTGTTTCCATACCTGTTGCATCTTTTTGGTGTCTCCGTCCGACCCATCATCAGGCAATGAGGTGTTCATCATATCATCCTGCAGCTTGTGCCGTGGCAGCCTTGCAGACGCCGATCTCATGAAGCTGTTGTTGGCGCTGCCACTGGGAGAGGCACTGTTCTGATAGCTGCCTGGGGGGGTAGGCACACTGTTGTACGTCGTGTTGGGTGACGTGTCCGATCTGTTGTGAGGATCCTCGTGATTGTGTTGTCTGTGCGCTTCGGGTGCCATCCCTTGACGCGGATCTTGCCTCGGCTCCGCTCGCATGTGCACTGGTCTGGATTCGAGTCTTGGATCTGGTCTGAGGTCATGCCTCGAGTCCTGTCTCAGGTCGGGCCTCACATCGGGCCGAGGATCCTGACTCAGGTCCTGTCTCGAGGCTGGCCTGCCGTCTCCAACCATGCCATGTCGCAGACTGTTTGTGGTGCCCGGCGCCATGCCCGAGGGTTTGTGTGGCGTGTACAGATCGGGCGTGGCAGCCCCGGCTGGTGGTACACGCTGAGGGACACCGTGGGGGCTGTGCAGATGGTGATGGTCACTGACAGGGCTCTCGCCTTTCCCCGCTGCCGAGAATCTCGACGTGGGTCTGCTGTGCATGTGCGTGTGGTACAACGACGACTGCCGCATCTTTTGAGCATAATTCTCCTCCGACCAGTGATCCAGATCGCTCTGACCCACGGACGACTTGGGTCGAATCTCGTTGGGTCTCGGGAGGTCCCCGCCGCTGCCGCGTCGATAGGACCACATGTCGTTGTTGCCGTGCCGCCGGTCGTACTCCAGGAAGTCTGCGCTATGCGGGCGCGGTGGTCCCTGCGGTCGGTGGCGGTGGTGTGGGTCCGGGTGTGAGACCCGGGGGAGCGTGTCCTCCTGGCCGCGGAAGGTGGACCTCATGGGGTCGGCTAGCTGCAGCTCCTCGGAAAGTCTCGTCCCACCGCTTCTGGACGAGGCGAACGAGTCTCGCTGCTCGGGCTTCCGGATGGGACTCTGCGCTAGGGAGCTGGAGCCATTGCTGTCGCCATACACGTCCTCGTAGTCCCCGCGTGCGCCGCCCGACGTCACTCCGTACGCGTCGGGAGTCCTTCGCTCGGCGGAAGGAGGGTGGAAGTGCAGTCCTCGGGCGTCGGGCGAGCGCGAGTCCGCGGCGCCGTTGCCGCCACCATGGTCCGTGTAGATGCGCGGGTCTCTCTCGTCCCGTTCGGGCGACCGCTCCGGGGAGGTGCTGTAGTCCCTGGAGGAGTTCAGCCGCTTGGGCTTGGGTGGGGCGTTGGCGTAGAGGGGCTGCCGCTCGCCGGGCCGCAGGATCAGGGACGAGTCGCACGAGGTGTTCAGGCGGTCGCCCTGGAGGCGGGACGATTCGCTTGCCTGCAACAAAGCAAATCACTGAGGACAACGCAATGCTGTTTAAACATTTCCTGAAAGCTCCTATCATTTTCACATCAGACAACACTGGTGATACACAACAACAAACAGGCAAATATAAAAAAAAAATGATCATCAAAGACACGGTCATGTAGCACGACCTTTAGCACACAAGACCAATTCAAACACCAACCTCGTCCAGGGACCGGCCGTCTGGGGACCGGTACCTCCTCGACCTGTAGCCGTGGAAGCCGGAGTCGCTCTCGTCGGCTGAGGGCGAGGCCGTCGACGCCAAAGACGAGACCGAAGGGCGCTCACTCCGGCGCGCGCTGCTTCCACTGCTCCACTTCTCTTCCAGGCTGGAAAGAGTTTGGGATCTTGAGATTTTAGGATTTTTCACATTTTGAATTTTAGGATCTTGACATTTCAAAATTTTCAATTTTTAGAATTTTCTGATTTTTGAATCTTTGGATTTTTTTTTAAAGATTTATAGCTTTTTAGATTAGATTTTTGTTGTATATAATTTCGTGATGCTTATTTTGGATTTAGGTTATTTTGATTATTTCCTTCTGAGGCTGAAAAGGGTTAATGCCAAGGCTTCTTTCACTATAATTACTTCTTTGTAAATTCAGTATTTGTATGTGATTGAGAGGGAATGGGAGAGGGGGAGAGTGAGGAGGAAGAGGGAAAGAGAGAGAGAGGGAAAGAGAGAGAGAGAGAGAGAGAGAGAGAGAGAGAGAGAGAGAGAGAGAGAGAGAGAGAGAGAGAGAGAGAGAGAGAGAGAGAGAGAGAGAAAGAGAGAGAGAGAAAGAAAAGAAAAACAGGGAGAGAGAAAGAGAGCAAAAGCACGGAAAACGTGACGTGCTGCGTAAACTAGGCATGAACATGTATCACCAGAAAGGAATATGTGCATTTGTAAGCGTCATAAACCTTCATGTTTTTAACGTATAACGAGCCAGAAATATCGGCCATTAAAAAAGTCAACCCCTCCCTCCGCCAACAGGTTTGCCCAACGCAAGCATGGGACTGCAAGCACGCTTCCTTATATGTAGAATGAGCCGACGATGGGACAGCCTCAAGTTTTATTTGCAGAAAAAAATAGTTTCCGACTTGACTCCTCCTTCTTCTTCAGTAAAAGTTAATACAATGACCTCACCACGGCAACTAAATTATGTAAAGAAGCATACTGACGTTTGTTCATGCTATATCTCAAGTTAGGTTATCGAAGTGTTTTTCTTCAGGTCGAAAAGATAATTCTATTTTGTCTAGTTCGGTAATGACTCTTGGATCCGCCATGATGTTCGTATGTATCTAAATTCTCCAGTCTTATATCATGAGTCTTATTCTTTATTACTTCTGTTATGTCTGAATATTGCATCCGTAATGATTATCTAAAGTACCTATTTCCTCCATTTTCTAACTTTTCATTAATTATATTATGTCTAGTTTAGCACCGACTCTTGAATCCGTTATGATAATTATACATCTATCTTCTCTAATCTTATAATATGAAAGACTTTATTTTCATTAACCACGAAGAAAATATACACCTTCCATCGGGAATAAGAATGTAAAAAAAGAATTCAAAGCCACCAGTTCAACGATCGCGCGCAGAAATCAACTTGTTTGTACCGTAACGTTCCCACGCGACAACACACCAACACAGGGAGGCGTGTTGGCCGATCAACAGGCGTCCTAATAATAATAAACGAGATACCACAACGAGTGTCCAGTTTCAACGCAACCCCAACACGCCCCACGCCCTACCCCTGTCCCCAATCTCCTTACCATCACCTCATACCCTCATACATTCACACCCTCAATGTCCTTTCTCCCTCGAGTCTCACCTTGACCCTCACCCTCATAGCCTCACACCTCACTCTCCCCCCCCTCCCTCCCCCCACCCTCACATCTCACTCTCCCCCCTCCCTCCCCCCACCCTCACACCTCACTCTCCCCCCTCCCTTCCCCCACCCTCACATCTCACTCTCCCCCCTCCCTCCCCCTACCCTCACACCTCACTCCCTTCTCCCTCCCCCCACCCTCACACCTCACTCCCTTCTCCCTCCCCCCGCCCTCACCCCCTTTACCTTCCACACCCTCACAAAACGACCCGACCACCTTCCCCCTTCCCCCTCCAACCTTCCCTCCCCCCCTCCCATCCCGTCACCCCCTCCCCCTGGTCGCCACCCCTCCTTCAAGGTGCCCGGACAACCTAAGGTCAAGAGCAGTTCATTTCTTATGTTATCATTTTATTCCTTTTATCCTTTACTGTTTAATTTATTTTTTTTTATTTTCTTATTTATTTTTTTTTATTATTATTATTTTTTTTTTGGCCGAACTTCGTTTACAAAAGAAACAACAAAAGATGAATATTGCAAAAGGAGGAGCAGAAAATCAAAACATGTATATCAAATCATTTGCGAATCAAACCGAATTATGTCCCATTTACCTATGGCATATGTAGGCCTATGTTTATCACATATAGCCCTGCCTAACACATGTAGGCTTGCCTATCACATGTAGGCCTATGTCTAACACATGTAGCCCTGCCTATCACATGTAGGCCTTTGTCATATGTAGGCCTACGTCTATCACATGTAGGCTTATGTGAAATCATTCGAAACATTCGTTCATTGAAATGCAATTCATAATCATGTTTTAATGCAAATCCTTTATTAATCCTTGATTAATTAGGTGGAAAGTATCCAATATCATTGAACCTTCGTAATTTTACGCCATCTAACATATATTTACCAATTGCGTTTATTTACCTTATTCTTTATAAACATTGTATATATATATACATATATACACATATTTACACACACACACACACACACACACACACACACACACACACACACACACACACACACACACACACACACATATATTTCATAAAGATTTCCAAGTACACAAAATAAATCGTGTTTTTGAGATTATGAGAAAGATCAACACCAAAAAAATACATCAACAATAACAACCTTAACAATAATAAAAGTAGAATATGCTAATATTGGTACTAACAATGAATAATAATAATGACAGCAATAATAAAATAACAACGACGACGACGATGACGACGACGACGACGACGACGACGACGACGATGATGATGATGATGATGATGATGATGATGATGATGATGATGATGATGATGATGATGATGATGATGATGATGATGATGATGATGATGATGATGATGATGATGACGACGATGATGATGATGACGATGACGATGATGACGGTGACGACGACGACGACGACGACGACGACAACACAACAATAATAGCATCAAGAAAATGTAAATAAAAATAAAAATAAAAAAATAGTAATATCAACAAAAACAGGCGCGAATGAACCACAATAGCACAAACAACAATAAAAATACTGACATGACATAATCAACAATAACAATCTTCCAAAATGGAGGTTGCAAAGAATAAAAAAAAGAAAAAAACACATACAACAGGTAACACTAACCCCCCTCCCCCCTCCTACCCCCTCCACACTTAACCCCTTTTCACCTCACGCGAACACTGATACGTTTTCGTTACGGTGAAGAAAAACAGCTTTTTTTCCCTTTACAATTCCTTAATTATCTGCCTCATTAACCTTGTCATGATTCCCTAAAGAAGAGAAAACACTATAGAGTAAAAAAAAGATGTAGGCCAAGCATCTTATCGGAAGTTATTATCGTAATCAAGTTTGATCGATAAACCAAGATAAAACGATAAAAAAGGTGATCCATGTGGACTGTTTCCCTGTGACCCCCCCACCCCAGCTGTCTTGGCTGTTTATCTGTCAGTCTATGTGTCGCTGTCAGTCTGTTCATCAGTCTGTCTATGTATCTCTCGGTCAATTCGTCAGTCTCTCTATGTGTCTCTCAGTCTGTCCGTCAGTCTCTCTATGTGTCTCTGTCAGTCTGTTCGTCAGTCTGGTCTTCTGTGTCTGTCTGTCTGCTTAACCGCCTGTCTCACACCAGCACAACACACACTGACCTTTCACGAATTCAAAAACAAAACTCACCTAAGTGTTCGTGTGCTCTGCCAACCGCTCCCAAGGACAGCCAAATGTATTTATTTTGATGTCAAAAAAAGAAGAAAAAAAAACGGGGCATCGGTTTATCATGCGCGAACTCTTGCCCGCATGCCCGATGCTCGATAACTTCTTGAAACAATTACACAGAGGGAGAAGGAGCAGGCCGAGACTGCCGCCAAAATATCTCGCATGCCAATTATTTTCTCTCAGGTTGAAGCTTCTCGCCACAACAACAACTCTGACACTTGAATCACAACCGCACCACAACCAATCCTCACTTCTTACGATCTGACAAAACGTTTCTTTCATGGAGAATCACTTAAAAAAAACGAATGTATCTGCATTATGTCAGAGGAGTAGTTTCCTTTCAGAGTCAAGGGCAAAGCTTTCCTGTTACCAACTAGTCGAATAAACGGCGCCGCTTCGACTCCTGCACTCTGAAGGGAAGGGGGGGGAGGGCTCGCTGTATCTCGCTGTAATGTCGTTTCCTCCCCAAGCTGTATCGCCGCTGGTCGGAAATGAATACCTCCTTGAGACTGGAGTCCCAGAGGCCACTTCGGTGGTGATGAGGTTCCGACCGGAAATTCCTTGAGGTGGCATCGACGGACTAGCTAGGCTTCTGCAGCGTACAACCTCACCCGGATCTCTTCTATGAATGAAGTACACGCTCGCCGTCCAGGCCTTTGTACACAAACACTGACGCACTTGTCCCCCAGGCCTGCCTCTCTCGCTCTGTCCTATGTACTACCTCTCTCTCTACACATTCCCTCTTCTCTCTCTCCCTCTCTCTTGCAACTGTCACTT